AGTAATCGTATAGAACAAGGTTTTGCATAAGTGACATAAAAATATCATTACATTTGTAAAATGGCCTCTACGACTGCCAATAAGATCAAAATATTAATAATTTGATTATAAAGTCATCTCAATTCTCAAGATAAAAAGCAACCAAGATAATAACTTAATGTAGTACTCCCTCTGTCCCAAAAAAGTGACTCAACTTTGTACTAGCTTTAGTACAAAGCTAGTATAAAGTTGAGTAACTTATTTTGGGACGGAGGGAGTATTAGTTAAGTAATTTTAAAGAGTAGAAAAACATACTTGCGGTTAACTGGACTCGGATTTGTAAGGTGTGGTTATGACTTCTGTTTGTTCTGCAACATTTACCATGTCCGGCATAACCTGATCAGAAGCGTTAACTCGACTCGGATAATCAGATTTGTAACTTGCACATCAGCCTCACTAACAATTTCAGTAGGATAGAACTTGAAGCAACCGGCTTAAAAAAGCATTAATCTTAACGGTGTTTGACCCCGGTTTTCTCTTCATAGCTGTTGCCTGCTGGATTGCAATGGAGAATTAACATACTAGATAAGTTCGACAATAAAAAATATTACTCCCTCCGTTCCTAGGTATTTATCTTTCTAGATATTTTAAATGGACTACCACATACGGATGTATATAGACATATTTTAGGGTGTGGATTCACTCATTTTGCTCCGTATGTAGTCACTTGCTGAAATCTCTAGAAAGACAAATATTTAGGAACGGAGGGAGTACATCACAGATAGGAACTAATACAAGGTAATTTGCATCACAAAAATAAGAACTGGCCGAGACAGACCGCCAGTACACCACTGAATTCATGATAATTGTGGGACGGGGACATTTACAAAATAAGCATATCCTGATCAGAAGCATCAATTGGACACCACTGAATCATAGATCATAGAGTCACAAATTACAGAACCAAATTACCAAACAAAACAAAATCTGGAGTACCAATTCCACAATCGACACTGATACAGGATGAGGATTACCGGAAATTAAACCCTTGCTCGTTCGTTGGTTAAGCTGGAAAAATTGACAAATGCAGCAGCCAAATACCTGAATCTGTGAATCAGATCGACTGATCGAGAGCAGCAGGGCTGGGTCCTGGGAGCAGGGCGAGAAGAGGTGAACGGGCGGCGTCGGTGAGGGCGCGAGGCGCGAGGGCGTCGAAAAATGGAAAGGCGGCGACTAATCCCATGTATACCCTAATGACGAAATCAGACTTACAGTTACGACGGGTAGGGGACTAGAGCCGATGCCCATCGGCCACTACCAGTGGGCTTTTTTCACATGGGCCTTTTTTTTTCCTTTTTCCAGTATTGAAAAGACTAAAAAAGCAAGAAAGTTTAGGATCTTAGGCTTAAACGTACTGAAGAATCTGCGGTCCCATTGAATTAGCCCACCCATTAACATATCAGAGGAGCAGTCAATTATGCGGGTGTGTTTTCACTTTCACTGCTTGTTTTTTGACAAAGGGTAGATTTTATTGGCTCAAAATGGAGCATCAAGAAGATACAAAGCACAATGAACACACGCCCGGCCTATGCATATTTAAGATGCACACAACCAATACCAACTCAAGCACATACAAAATACGCCGACAACAAGCAAAGTTATACAAGACCAAAGCTATGCATAGGTGGGAAAAAAAACCAAAGCGATCTGGACAAGCTTTTTGACTGCTTGTTGACTTTTAGTGTTAGATTCATCCGTATATAGACAAATCTAAGACAAGCTTTTTGGACGGAGGTATACATATGCTAAAAACTTCCACCTATGGACCTGCAACACATGCCCCTATACCCACACATAGTGAAGTGAAAATCTTAAGGCCATCCAATCCCAATTAATATGTCATCATACTAAACCTATTGTCCATCCATGCTTGTGCAGGTTTAATGCAACCAAACTGATAGAGTACTGTCCAAAGGTGGTCCGTGGCAACAAGTAAATGCTGGAAAAAAAATCAAAGAAAGTAGGTTTGTGCCACACAGGGAGCACAAGGTACATTTTGCTGATCATAAGAAAATAGCTAGTTATGTGCCTTGGTGGCCTAGCCGGCATGCATCAGTAGACAGATACTGACCAGCCGCCAACAGGATGGCATTTATTCATGGTGGCCATGTCGAGCTCACGTCGTATCAACGCCGATCAGGGCCTTTGCCTTGGTTACCATAGCACACAAAGCTCCCTGCTCCTCTGGAACCACCAACCACATGTAACATTCCACATTGGACAACGCTTCCATCATCCCGTTTTGGCTGAAGATGAGTGCGTAGCGAGGGCAGGATGCCACGATGGATAATGTGAGCTCAACCAGCATCCTTCTCATATCTGGAAATTCATCTGGGCTCGGTTTCTTGCGGGAGTTGAGTTCAGCCACCAGTTTCGTAACAAATGCTTGATCATTTGCAGACGAGTGAGGGATAATGCCTGCCCTGCAAATTTGTGAAGCCAGGCTGATCAGTGCCTCCACCAGCTTGCCCTCTGCATCCACTATTCTCCTCAAGACCTGCATATACGGTGCACCGAAAATGTTAGGTCACGTATGATTACTTCATGTTTATCAACTGCACGGCAATGAAATATATTAGAGTATAAACACAAGGCAAAATTAATAAGCCCTCAGGAGTAGTCCAAAATGGTAATAATTGTATGTGTAACTAGCAGGTTTTCTTACTGTCCACCACTCTTCTTCTGACGATCCAATTGTCTCCTAGCTATCATTTTCATATCAACTCTGGATGGAACTAATTATTTGTAAGAAAATGATGACCATAAAGTTTCAGAATGACAATGCATACAGAAAAACATTAATTATACAAAACTAAAAGGCAAAACATGTAACACAAAGGACTCGAGAGTACTAGGAAAGTCATAGGACTCACCACTGTCAACAAGGTAGACGACATGCAATCGTCTGAATCTTGATGGTTCAACACAAATGTTAGGTCACTTAGGATTTAATTCCTGGTTAGTTATTAATTCGATGGCTATTAAACACGTTAATTAGCATATAACAACAGTCATGTGTATGGGTTGCTAGTCCCAGATTCAAGATTGTGCGGTCTGCACATCAATTAGCCACTAGGAGCAGTCAACATGAAAAGCATAACGGTTTGCTTAACTAACAGTCCACCGCCCTTGTTCTGATCATCCAAGTGTCTGCAGGTAGCAATCATTTTGGTATTGGTGTCATTATAATTTGACATTCCAATTAAAGGAGGTACAACACTGGAAGGCACTAAGTATTGGTAAGAAAATGACAACCTAAAGAAATTTACAATGACATTATTTGGGAAAAAAACTAAAAAGAAAAACATGGCGCGTAAAAAAAAGACTCAATAGACAATTAAAGAATCAAAAGTTCTATCAGTTTCAGAGAACTCACCACGGTAAGGGTAGAGGACAGTGCATTGTTTGGACCTTGATGGTGCAACACTAATTCCCTGGAGTTTTGGCACAACCTCTGAAGTAGACTTGCCACAGAGTATATGTGCTGACCATGCTCCATCTTGTTGGCGAGATCCCCTATAAGGTCGTAACTCGTTTCATCCAACATAGCAAAGCAGTTGCCAGGGCAATCCATTGCTAGCATTGCGAGTGCTTCCCCTGCCTCTGCTCGCAATGGGTTCTCATCATCCCCAAGGAACTCTTTCACCAGCTTGTCGATGATAACCTGGAATGCCCCAATCTTGTGCCTAGTTTTCTTATCAATGGAGGTCTTGGCGATCTTGGCAATGATATACATAGCCAGCTTCGATTGTTCTAGGTAGCTTGGGTTGGCCTCCAGCTCCAAGATCTTGGTAAGGTTGCCAAACAGGAAAGGGTTCTCAGAAATCTCTTGCCGCAGTGTCATGCCGGTTTTCCCATTGATGCTTGCAAGCTTGGCAACTAATTTCAATGATGAAGTAGTGATCTCATCCAGCTGCACTGCTGTTGTGCCAGTAATGCAGTTTATGAACCCTATGATCTTTGGGAGAAGCTCCATTGCTCTGCTGATTTCAGCGCAGTTGTGGAGATCATGAGCAAGCCCTTCAAGTATCTGCATGCCCAATACAGGGAGTGAGTCATTATGCTCCGAGTCCTTGTGTGGAATCGACATCAGCTTTTCGATGTGTTCCCCAAATCTGCATATCCCCTCCATCAGAAAAAGTAAGAATTGGTAACTACGAGATCGACTTGCCATTACTGGTGCGTTCCCTCCCTCAATGTCCAGCGGTAAAAAACTTAGAGCAGTGCGCATTCTCGTTTGTTGTCTACCATTGTTCCTTCTGTTATTGTCCACTATTGGAGAACTTGAAGCATTGGTGATTTGCTGATTATCTACATTACCGACCACAACCTGGGCTGGAACTTCCTGTATAATAGGTTGATCTTGGGCATCAAGAAGTAAAGATACCTTCTGCATAGTTCCGGGAATCCCCACGATCCGTAGGTTTGGAGCAAGATGAGCGGTGACCTTTGTGGCGAATCGCTGGATATCTGCATCTTCTGTGGCTGTCCAGCCCAGCATGCTAATCAAGGTGGTCGCTGCCTTGGTGGAGGTGGTGATCAGGGAGATAATCTTTGTGTCATTGGAGCTGGAGGTCGTATGATTTTGCAGAAAGGCGGCCAAGATGCGGACTGCGGCACACTTCTTCTCCCGTGACGCCTTGGTGTTCAGGGAGTCCACAGCAAAGGTGACAAGGCTCATCTTCTTGGTAGTGTCGAACACACTTTCTTGCAAGAAAGAGTCAAAGGCTTGTTCATAGTAGAGGTCAATGGATTCCATGCCCAACTTATCTGTGAGTCCATAATGAAGAGCCAGTTTTCTCCGATACAAGAAAGATGACGACTCCAGTATGCACGCCAACATATAGAGTGCCCCTTGGCACATCACCAATGTGTACAACATCTGCACTGCTAGCTTGACGTTTTTGTTTTCGGTGCCGTGAACTTCAATATCCTTCGTCACAAGCCACACATAGGAGAAGATGATTCGTGCCAGAGCCATTGGAATTTGTAGGTTGCCTCGCACCAGTGTGCTTAACAGCACCAGCTTGCCCATAGGCCCAAACCATACCAACAGTCTCAAAAGTACTAAACAAAGCAATACGAGACGGATTAGTTGCGCTGCTACTTTAACTATTCTGTCATACGGAAAACCATGTCCCGGCAATCTCAACCTCGCTAAAATGTAGATGAAGAACCATAGAAGAATCAGTTTGTAATTCATCCATCCAAAGCCGCAAAAACCGTCCGAGCAATATCCTTCTATATAGTGGCCTGCAATCCAAATTACTAGGAGAGCAGTTGCGGGACTGAAGTGCAACACTATGTTGCTTTTTTTCGCGCTAATGTAACCAATAAGCCTGTAAAACCTCAGCTTGCGTACTATCACCACTAACACCAGTAGTAAAAAGCCATCACTATCCTGGAGCACTAAAATTGATAAGAGACGGTGAATTATATGAAGAGCTGGTACCATCAACACACATGCCGTCATTATAGCTGCATTCGCATAATACAGACATCCGCTTCTAGTGTCTAGCCCCACCCTTTTGAGCTTGATGCCTCCTGTAGTTTTGAATAGAAATTGGTCATCCGAATTGCTTTGCCGGCTAAACGCCCTGGATATAGACAATAGACATGTCAAAAAAAGTGTAATAACCATATGAATATATGTAAACACATGACTATCTGACACAAGTTTATTAAGTATACGGTTCTAATCTAGATAAATATTTTTAATATTAGGCAGGTGCTCCCTCTACAAAGAAATGAACTCATGAAACAGACTTTCGCTCCGCTTTATCTATATCTGTACCTCTATACCTAATAATGAAGGGAGGTGTTTTTTTTTATTTTTTTAATCCGTTTACTCATATTATATTTTTTTAGATTTTCTTTATCTGAGGTGGAACTAATTTTTGTACACGCTCATCCAAAATAGTAATACGTTTTTGTTATTGGACTACGTTCATGTTATTGGGCTCAGGTTAAAAAGTTCTCCTTCCGTGACAAAACCACATGGAGGCAAAATATTTGCTTCAGTAAGGAATTGAAACTACAATCTTGTGTCCAATTCCTTATGAGGCTATCAACTGACCTAAGTCCGAAATCACTAGCTAAGGAGTACTCTTGCGGAGATCACTCAAACTTCCCTTTTTTCGTAGATCCGTTTATTCAAAATATTTTATCTCTTAAACCGTGCGTCCAAATCTCGAACCGCTTTCGTTGTTGGATTCTTCGCGTCAAGATCTTCAAAACTAGATCCCATGTTGATATGTTTTGATGAACTTTTTTTTCACAAAAAAACCGAACGAAAAAACCAAACCGGGAGCACGGTTTTTTCCCTTTTCGAAAGAGG